TGATTTAAAATATTTCTGAAAAATTAAAAAAAAAAAAAAAAAATTAAGGAGACGCAAATGAATACTGGTAATTGTGGTCAGATGACAACATCGTGCAAGCATGCTACTATGAAATTTTGACAATCATCAGACAACCGCTGACTTGACGAATCGTTTACCTGGCTGTAGTATTGCCACATGCTATCATCCACAGTATATTGCAACTTATATGACGTAACCCATTCCGATAATCCATCCCCACCCTGGGTGGCCACGCCTGTTACTTTGTATACATCACTTAAGTCAATCTGAGAATAGAGCGGAGAAAAAAAGGAAAAAATCATTTAAAAACACTAATAATTATTTGGCAAATAACGGAAATGGCAAAGTTCTTGATTTTGATAGGACCTGAGAGGAACAAAATTTCTACCTGTCTTAGTTAAGTAAGTTTCGCCAGAGAAGCCGTTTGGTCAAAATAAATTTTTTTTCTTGAGCACTCGATTTTTTTTCAGCCAAGCATGAAAGATACCAAATTACTATACAAGGGCAATTGATTGTCATACTTGTAGAAACTGCTGGTGATCAGATGTCTGCGGGCTCCAACCACCCCTGCTGTCCACGACTCCTTGTAGACCGCTGGCCTGTGGAGCATACAGCCGTGCCACCTTTGGTTGACTGTTAGAGGCAAGTGATGATGATGCTGTCATGGCGGAATCAGGGATGGCCTTGCTTTGTACACCAAGTGTTTCAGTACAGCCTTAAAAATCAACTCACTTGTCAGCCTAGAACAGTGTTCATGATACTATTGAGAAAATTAAGGACAAAAACTGTTCCCAAGTGCCTTTATGCTTTGTTTCTGTTCTTGGATATGCAAATGTACCCGAAGCAGGTAATAAGTTTATTTATTATATGGCTGTTCTCACAAGGACTGGGAACTACCGAATTCACGAATTTGATGGGCTGAAATCAATGTTGAGAGCGGTTTAGATTTTCCCATCTTGACCGGCATCTAGACCGGCATCTAGACCGGAAATGTTTTGCGGTGAAAAAGTTGCAAACTAAAATGCAAAAATATTGACTATGTTCTTCTATCGAAGTGCCAAAAAGCCTGATGAGAAAAAAAGTAAAGAGGACGAGCAATCTTTAGCAGAATTAAGTTCAGCTCATCGCCGTTCGCAAGCAAAATGTCAGTTAACTACAAACCAGTTACATTAAACGAATTAAATTGTTCTTGTTCCTATAAACATCTTATTAACCGAGCTTAGTCGGTCTGTATGGAAGAATCTTGACCTCGGTCGCTTGTACGGACCTCACTCCGTTTGGTCTGAACTTACGACTTCGGTCAAGATTTCCCCATTCAGACCTACTGCTCGATTAATAAGAGCTAATTATTATACAGACACGAATGGTTTACTGGAAAATACACCAATTGTAAAGGTTTTTACATTCGTTTTTACACCTAGTCCTCTCAAACGTATTAAATGCAAGGAGCCATAATGAAATGATGTTTTACTATCACCTCTATAAACGTTTTGGCTTTTAGTCTTGAAATATAATTACCTTAACAAATGCGTTTTTTTACCGTTTATATGGCTTTATTTGTGATTTTCTAGAGTTTCCTTCGGTGAAATCGTCAAACATTTTCACAGTACATCGAATCCTGCAGGATACGAATTTTAAACACGAGAAAAGTAGGGTTTGCAAAGGCAGTTCTTTCGATTTTTGCAAATTTGTCTTTTACCGCTGCGAAATGACTGGCCTGATAGATTTCCCTGAAAAACGAGCTCTAACTAAAGTAAATTATTTATTACCACTCTGCCAAATTTTATGGAATATCACCGAAGGAAACGCAAGAAAAGTCACTTTCAATTTTGCTTTTTTGTGCTCATGGTGACGTCATAAAATATGGAAAAACACTGACGTCTTGGTGTATGATCAAAAAATCTTCGGATCTTCCTCAAAAGTCTTCTGCAATCTTCGGTTAAATATTCGGAAGTTTTGGAGAATGTTCGGAAATGTTCGTATGGCCTTCGGACAAGTTTTGGCGAATCTTCGGAAATCTTTGGAAAGTGGTCGGAAATCTTCGGAAAATTGTCAAAACAATTGCTTGTAGATATCGAATATCTCTTCTCGTGTTCAACTTAATATCTGGAGTTGAACACTCGAAGAGATATTCCATATCTACGTGCGCCCATGTATTATCCTCTACATAGAAAACATCCATGTTTCTTCAGCGTCTTCGTTTTCATCTTCTTTCCTTTTGTATGGTTATCTGAGGTGGTTCTTTACATCCGGTAAAGTTGTGACCAGAAAAACGAAGCCAACACATGGCAAAGAAAAAACAAATAAAGAAACAAAACAAGGAGGTACATTTCCAACTGTTTTCAGCAAATATTTACCCAACATTTTATGCTCATTTCTTGTCAAATTAAACTTAACTTGGATAAAACAGTTTGCTATTTTACAAATCAATCATAGCAATGGTTAGCTGGCAAAACTGATGATGAAATCATCCTATCTTTAAAGTAGTAGGTTACTTGCTAAGCTGTTCTGTACATGTCACGTGTCCGCTGGTCAGGTAAGATCCCACCGCTCTATTTTTCCTTACTCCTGTCCTACATCAGCTTCTCCACACTGTCTTACATCTTTACTTTTCTACTGTTCGCCGCAATGTTGTATATGTAGCTGTTGTCCATGTAGCTGTTATACATGCACCGCACCCTTCTTCCCAATAAGCGCCCTCTTTCTAATAACCGCTCCTCATTGAGTGCCTTGTTAATAAGCTCCCCTATTGCAATAAGCGCCCCATAGCGAAAGGAACATTCAAGACCTTGGCACAGAATAGACTGATTAGATGAATGAATAATTGAACTTTGCTTTCTCAGCTTAAGGTAACATTACAAATTATGACTATCAGAATCTCATTTAAGTATTGTATTGCATTCAGATGTATAGCTAAAAAAATAATTAGGCGTCTCTTTCCTAATAAGCGCCCCTCTCCAATAAGCGCCCTCTCTTAAGAGCCACTAACTGTAAATATGGAGAATCCGACGACGGGTCGGAAAAGTCGGATTTTCTTTCATTGCATCAGAAAGACCCTTTTGGTGAACTTTTTTCAGAAATATACTTTCAAAGTTCCGGCGAGTTCACATTTTTGTGAAATCTAGGAAAGTTCGAAATCAACCAAGATGGCCGATGGAATTTATGCAAAATTGCACATTTTCAACAGGCCAGTACAGAAAGAAGGGAACTTGCCTGGATTTCATATTTACACAGTTTGTAATTTATACTGTGATCATTCTTCTGAGCTAAAAGTCATCTTGAGGTAAGTACGTTTTGTCTACTTCTCGGCCGTTTGAAAAATACAACTATCGCAATTTAATTTACATGTAAAATTTCAACTGATTTTACATAAATAAAAGGTTCTGAAATAAGAGCTATGCTATGGATATACCATATCTAAATGGCTAGTTTGGCCCGTGAAAATTAAGCGCGCTTGATGAAAAACTATAAAGGGTATTTTGACCAATTGCACCATTTTTGGGACGAGTGCAATCTCGTTCCCAGAGTCTTCGTTCCCCTTGACCAGCGGTCGGAAAACGAGAGCTCTGGGAGCAACCATTTCAGGCATGCGCCATAGATGCAGACTGCGCAGTGAAACCGGATGGGCAGAATTCGGTTATTTCCTTTGTTATTTCAAAATGGTTGCTCCAAGAGCTCTCGTTTTCCGACCGCTGGTCAACGAGAACGAAGACTCTAGGAACGAGATTGGGACGAGCGAGCAAGAACTTCGATTTCGCAGTGATCTTTATAAACATAATTCGACATGTTTCATAACACAAATTATTCTTAAACATCGTGTATTGTACTCTTAACCAGTATTTTAAACAATATCTCAGAATAAGCCTGGGTTATAGATGGCACAGTCCACAGTATGGTATATCCACAGCATAGCTCTTGTTTCAGAACCTTTTATTTATGTAAAATCAGTTGAAATTTTACATGTAAATTAAATTGCGATAGTTGTATTTTTCAAACGGCCGAGAAGTAGACAAAACGTACTTACCTCAAGATGACTTTTAGCTCAGAAGAATGATCACAGTATAAATTACAAACTGTGTAAATATGAAATCCAGGCAAGTTCCCTTCTTTCTGTACTGGCCTGTTGAAAATGTGCAATTTTGCATAAATTCCATCGGCCATCTTGGTTGATTTCGAATTTTCCTAGATTTCACAAAAATGTGAACTCGCCGGAACTTTAGTAACTTTGAACTTTGAACTTTGAAAGTATATTTCTGAAAAAAGTTCACCAAAGCAAAGCGGATTCGCCATATTTACAGGCAATGGCTCTTAAGCTACCAAAAGTAAATTAACATCCTGGGTGCTACTGGAATCGAAACATTACGGTATTTAATGTTCAATATTCAAACATGTTTCGAAAGTAGTACGTAATATAACAACTCACTCATTTGATAGTAGTCAAACCCTTTGACTGGCGTCAGTCCAACATCACCAGAGGCCTCCCTACTGAGGTAACACGTGGTTCCATTCCTGTCATAATCAAACGATCTGCATGGAAACGAATTCTCTTTCTCACAGGCATCTGCACATTGTTCAGCGGTCTTTCCGGACAAGACTTTGTCATCGTTGTTTGCAAGACGGGCGTCCCGTTTTGCTGAAAAGCCTCTGAGAGCATTGGTAACTAAAAAAAATGATAATGAAGCTGGTTGTGAGTAAACTGACAGATTGAAAAAGATTCTGAGATCCTTCGAACGTGTTCTAAATATACAGTAGTTGAACAATGGGTGTCTTTTAAAGTTAAAGTTTTTTAAGAAACCGTGTAATCGACCCATTTTGAAGCATCTTTGCGATTTTTGTAGTTATCATTCAAAGTATCACTTATGTGAAACTGGAGTTAATCGTGAAAGATGGCATTCGAATATTGAAAGAAGACCTAATACTTAATTAAAAGATATCATGGTTAGAATAATACAATATGACGCTATAGCGGGTCTGGTATCTTTTTTCAGAAACAATTCATTTTATTAAATCTCTAAACTGCTCACATAAACAGGCAAAAGGCTTGGACGTCAACACGTATACTCCTTGAAGCCCCTCACGGAAGTCAGCCCAGGCCTTCACATTTCCTTGTTTCCCATGACAACTTCGCACCAGATTGTAGATATCTTGGGGCGAGAGAACTTTGTCCCATACATTTAACTGGCTGAGATCTCCAGTGAAGGCTTCTTCAGGACTGAAGGAGCCCCCTAACGAATCCTGCTCCTGACCTAGCACCATGACACCTCCTCCACGGATCACGGCTCCTGACTGGAAGGCCTGTGAGTATCTGAACACAGTGTTCATGCACAACACTATTTGTTAAGTGATCCATGTTATGGAAGATATCAAGAGAGGATGAAGGGAAACAGAGTTAATTCTCAATATAGGCCTTGTTTCCATAGTTACTCGTCTCTGGTTATTTTTAGATCACTCCTGGTATAGGAAATATAGAAATTGCCAATCCTGTGAAGTGGATTTTGCTGACGTGGACAGCCCAAGCGGCTTTACACCATTTTCACCCTCTTCGAAAACATGGACAATGCACATTGTGACATTATTATCAGAGGAAAACCTAGTTATCATGTCTAAAAATAACTTAAGAGGTATTACCTTATAAGTAAGGTTTATATGGGGAATTAACTCTTTTATCCTTCATCCTCTCTAATTGCATCAAATGGTTTCCTACTGGGCCTGATTCTAAGTTAAAGTCAAATAACAGCAATCCGAGAGTTATAAAAAAGTTAACCGTTTGAAATTCATTTGCTTGCACCGAAATAACAAAACTACGTGTAAAGTTGGGGGCTGATCCTGGATTAGATTAATCCAATTTAGACAAACGCGCCCACTGCTTGCGCTTTTCTTTCCTTTCAGTTTACTGTGGAACCTACTTCTGCCTGCTTGCTAATGTCTGTAATTAGCTTAAAACTCTGACTTTCGTGTAACCAAGCATACAAAAATGTTTGTTTTGACTAACTTAATGTGAAAAAAAAACCCAAATAACGACTTCCAGACATCATGGTTCTGAGCTACCTGGATTCTAAATGGTCTATAGGATTATTTGTGGGTGCAATAATCAGCGTAGATAATTTACTTTAAGAAAATCATGTTAGGTAAAGTAAGGTGGAAAGAATAGAATGAATATGTTAGGAAAACTAAAAAAAATCACATACTTTTCCACCAGTAATTCCACCTTTTATTGTTCAGATCAGATAATCCTGAGCGGCTTAACGTTAATACTCGACAGGGTAACGAAGCTAATGTCGACAAAAATATGACAAACGGAAATTTCACATTTCATCCACTTCAGTGACATCATAGCTTGAGAGGACCACACAGATGCTGATGTTTAAACCTTCATTAGTAAGTCAGCAGACTTTCAGCTTTGACAAAAAAAGGAAATGGATTTCAAGTAAGACAAGACACGGTTACCTCTTCACTTCTTGTCCATTTTTGTAAAAGATCCATTTCCCTCCATTGCTGTCCCACGTGACAGCCACATGATTCCACTTGCCATCATTAGCTGACGTCCCAATGAACAGCTTTTCATTGTTTATATGCAGTTCGAAGGCGCCATAATCCTGTATTACAAGTGCATTGTCTTGAAGTTTGCCTTCCACCACGTTAGAGTAAGACAGGGGGGTCCCCGGGTTTTCTGTGTCATCCGTGCGAAGCCAGAAAGCAATAGTAAAAGCTTGCATGTCTGGAATGTTAGACACACTTGAGGAGGAGGTGGCAACCCGGTGAGGAAAGGAAAGATCATACGCGAAACACAATTCTGCCACAAATCAAAAGCATAACCTTGGTTAGTATAATTCCCCTAAAGTTCCGCTAGACGAAAAGATCTGCTAGACGAATTCTACAATGACGCGCCATGCAGTTATTGCGTTTTTGAAGTAACACATTTTGGCAAAACTGACGCCTATATTACTGGTGATAATGTTATACGGGCTGCGCTCAATTTAACAATTTGATTATGAGCTTGAGATTTCTATAGGGCGATCACTGTCACCGTGTAGATATCGAGAAGGAATAACAATCCCACTGTAGAATTTTACCTAAACCTCCTTCAAATTAATAACCATTTCCATTGTTTTCTGAGCGTTGTTAAGTAGTATTAACTTCGTCTTTCTTACAGGAAGTTGCGCGCCTGTCCAGAGTTAACTGCCATTTGAAACTTGTAGCTGTGTTCAGTCAACAATTTTTACCTTTCGTGTTTATTTCCAGAGAGAGATTTTTGAAGCACGAGGAGAACCAACGAGTTGTTATTAACGGAAGTCTCTCCAATTATGGTAAAAGCTCACATTTTATATCTGGCCTTTTTGTAACGTTGGTTTCAAGTTGTTTTTCGGTCAATGGAACTCCGTATTGAAATGAATTTAATTTCTGCTGGACAGTACCGCTGGCATTAGTTCCATTGCGACCTTTCAAATGCTAGATGATGTTGAGTTGGAAATTGAATTTCCTTTGTTTGTTGGTTGACACGTAACATTGGGTTGTAACAACAACGCTCATAAAAACGTATAGAAAAGTTGTAAAACTTTAAAAATTACAGTAGCATACACAATGTCGCCAGTACAGTGATGAATACTTTGCAAAAACAGAGCTTTCCGTATGCCTAATGGGTTGTGTTAGGTTTGCAAGTTATTGTGGTAAAACGTACAGCCGCCATCTTGAGGTAACAGGACTGAGATGTGTCGTACAAGTTGTCTTACTTTTAGTGCAGGTCGCTCCAGAGTAGGTGGGCTTGCAAATGCACTCAAACCCATTTTCCTTGTCGACACACTGTCCGCCATTACGACAAGGTTCCAACAAGCACTCATTGATACTCGTTTCACACTGCACTCCTGTAAAACCAGCTTTACAGGTGCAAGTATACCTGTTGTCGCCATCTACACATGTTCCATTGTTCTGACAAGGATCGCCAGCGCATTCATCGGTGTTTCTCTCGCACTGCACTCCTTCGTACCCAGGTCTACATGAACACTGATATCCCTCGGCCAAACTCTTACACGTGGCATAATTATGACACGGGGATGAAACGCAGTGGTCAATTTTCATTTCGCAAAATTTTCCGCCATAACCAGACGGACACTCACAAATGAAGTCTGGCGGTTGCACAACACACTTGGCGCCATTCTGACAAACGTTTGGACCACAAACCTGCGACGGAATGTCACACTGCAGACCGCTGAATCCTGGGGCGCAGACGCATTCGTAGCCGTTTACCTGCCATTTAACGTTTGAAGTAAATTCAAGCCACGTTGAAACTCAGCACGAATTGAATCCTACTGAGTTATCAATAAACACCTTACTTCACTTTCAATCCAGAATATCATCAACTTGTATAAACAATCAGTATAAAGAAGTTATACAAGAAAAATATTACAACACGGAAACACGCAATTTAATAAGCCAGTTATTATTATTATTATTATTATTATTATTATTATTATTATTATTATTCAAGCCTGAGTTACTTTTAAACTTTTATAAAGATTAGGTTTTCGACCCTGAGCGCCCCTATACCACCTGGGCTAACATCAGCAGTTAGTTAGTAAAGATGTTACTTAGCCAGTTAGTTAGTTAGATTGCTATTTAGCTAGTTAGTTAGATAGTTAGTAGATAGTTAATAAATTGCTTGTTAAATGAGTACGCTTTTATATATTCATACATTTTATTTTCATAATGGGTTGACTAGCACGTATGGTTCGTCAGTTCCCTTCTAGTCTTCCTCACTGCCTTGTTATGTACTAAGATTTTTTTTATTAATGTGCTTATTACAATTATTATTAATATTATTATTATTTTGTAATATCGTTTATGATTTTTTTCTTTGTTATATAATCGCAGTGAAAATTGAATAAATTAAAATTAAACCGTATGACTTTTAGTATAAGGGACTTAAAGATACGTTACGGCGGGCTACTACTACGGCTACTTTGGCCGTGAGGGACTAGGCTGACAACGCTGTTTTCTCCGCAAAACTCAAACGGATTAAGATCTCGCTGTAAGGCCACGGGGTGTACAGCCTCTAATTGTCTTTATAAAAATGGCTTCGTTCAAGGAAACCCGCAGTTACTTTATTCTATTTTCATACGACAGGCTTTATTAATGACGAGGATTTCCTTCTCCTTTATCAGTTTTACATCTCCCAGAACTTAGATTTGCCTCTCAGCTGCTATTAGAATCGCCTGTAATTCCAGCCACAAAACAAAACGACACTGACAAAAAGTTCGATTGAAGCACGGGCAGGGTGTTCATACAACGTGATAAGCCAGCCCGAAAATACAAACTTTTGATTCTAATTTGCTGTTCGGCCTGGTGCAAATATGACTGTCGCTCATGGTAGATGTTTGAATCATTCAAATTATCTTCGAACGGTTACTTTATCTTCAAACTAGGCTGTTCAAACAGAGAAAAAAGCGTTAGAATGAGAAGTAAACAGAAGGCTTATACTTATATAGTATGAGAGTACGTGAAACCAGGTACTTTCCCGTAGTAGAAAGCAAGGCTACGGCGGGAAAGCCTTACTGGAACGGGCGTCATGACGTCACCGGAAGTGATCTTCACTATTTGCCGCCGTACTACACTTTAAGTCCCTTTAATGAGTCTAGGACTAGGCTTGCTGCAGTGTTTTTCCCCAGCTTGCGCTCGGCGGGGGAAATACTGTACACGAGTGTGATTCAGCTTCATATTTGTACTCGTTTTCACACTTATTTGGACTTTGAGATCCAATGCTATGGTAGAAACAATCACATTATTTAACCGATTTCTACCAGTTTTGGATGTTCACTTGTGTAATAAGTAATTGGCGATAATTGGCCATTTCCGAATTACCTTTAGCATCTTTCTCAAAGCGAGTCTTGGTGCACATCCTTTCATGTGAAAATGAGATTTCATTCACATGCAAATTGAACTCATTTTCATATGAATGATTGTGCACCAGGCTTCGCTTTTATAGAGAGGCTTAGGTCATCTCTGAAATGGGCAATTCATTTCTCACTGAATGGATGAGTGTTGTTGTTTATTACCTTGTCCACACATGTTGCTCCTTGGTAACAAGGATCAGACAAACATTCGTCATTCTCGCTTTCACAAAATTTTCCAGAATATCCTGGCTTACATTCACACAAGATGTCGTCCTTTAAGTCAGAACAGGTGCCGCCATTATTACACGGGTTCGACGAACAGTTGTCAATAGCTGGAAGGGAATTCAATTATGAGCACTGCTCTAAAACTCTAAACTGGGAACAGCATTTAACTGCAAAACGCAACTTGGCGTAAAGGCAATTCCCATAAAAATAAAATGAGGTAAAAATGCATGATATGAGCAAGCAACGAACACCCAGAAGCGGGCAATATCACATACATAAGGTACAAGATCTGAAGTACAAAATTTGAAATGAAATTAAAAGACTTACATTTTCATATTCGAGCAACAACGCAATCAAAGGTTGATGCACTAGGATTATCAGCATCAACAATAGAAATACAAAACACTCAACTTAGCAATGGATGTCAGATGATAATGCAACTGGGTTAGAAACTCATCGGGAAGTCAGTTCTTAACCAACCAGACATACAGAACTGTGCCAATCACGCAAATGTTCAATTTAAGTCCCTTACTTCATCTTTTAAGAATGATGCATTTGATTGCTTCACTTTGTGTCCAGAGCTAAACTTCGCTAAGAAACAATCTATTTAAACGAGATTGGTTTCCTAATTTACCTCCTTTTTTTGCTACTCCACCAGCAAATAAAATACATTTAAGTAATAAATTTAAAACGAAAAGCTATTGATGTGGTTATCAGTGCATATAACTACTGCACTAAAATCACTTGAACGAGCTCGTACAGGGATTTCATGCAAATTATCTGCCGTTTCCCATAAATCTTACCTACACACATATCTGCAGAATCAGCTCCAGGTCCATACGTGGACTTTCTACCAGTACACTCTGCACACGATAGGGCTCCTATCCCACTTTGATATGAGCCCTTAGCACACGGAACACAAGGCTCTACGCCATTTTCTGAATACGTACCAGGGGCACATTTCACTGAAACAAAGATTGATAGTTACTGAATAACGCAAAGGGCCAATTTGAACCTTCCATCAAATTTAAACTGAGGCAAATTTAATTAGTTTTACCTGATCTCGGAGAAAGAGAATAAACACAACAGGATCGCGGAACATTATAGAGTGACCACCAAAAAGTGCAGCAACAATATGAGCAAACGAAAAAGCACATGCAAATAAATTACAGTACGTTAGGAGGATTTCACGGATCGGCGCATGCGCAAGCTAAAATGTTAATCATTCAATTTCATAGTTCATAAAGCAATCGAAAGCGTGCAAATGACTTTTGCGGGAAATTTGCCTTCGAAAATTTCACAGTCAGCAGCGAAAACCTGACGATATAGGTGAGATTTCTCATGAAAATTCATTACTTATGTTCCGACTCCATGCATATAGTACATTTTCGTTTTCGTATCAACAAGATGTATAGATCGTTTTCACGTGACGTCATCACTTTCTAAAATCCAAAACGAAAGAGCCACCAAAGTCCTCATCAGGCGCAAGAGGCGGTATATTTATATCTGTTTACAATTTTACAGCTCAATAGCGTGCTTCGTTTGGAATCCAGAGCATTTTGAATTTCAGGGTTATGGAGGTGCGTGACACAAGGCTATGATCGAGTTTATCGGAAAATATATACTTATCCCATGATTTTGAGCCTTGTTAGAAGTTAAAGCATTAGGAAAAGTGGTTATGTAAATGCTTGTTTGATCAGTACTGATAATCAGTCGCCTAGATAGCCAAAGTAAGTTCCANGACGAATATCTGAAGTTTGGGGAAACGCACAGGCCTAAAACTTGGAGAAGTGGCTTATTTAGTTATCTTCTATAACATCATAATTTCATAGCTTTTCCCACTGGATGGTTTTCGATTTATTTTTTTTTTGCGTGACAGTGAAAACGATCTATTCCAGAAATCACAGACTATAATTTGGTGAAAGTTTAATGACAGCTTTTGAGTAGCTACACGGCTACACGAAGGCTAGCAGAGTGACTGGTGTCCAAATTTTACGAAAGATGTAAACGGATTTAGACAGAAAATGGCAAATTTAGAATTGAACATCGAATTTGTTATTCGCATCCTTGTCCAATACTGTCGAACAGATACGACCCGTGAATGGCTGAACACGATCCGTACGACCCGTACAGGTCGTGAAACAATGGTTTACGAGTCGTACAGTTGGTGAACTGTATATCATTAGAGAGACTCAGAGTGTATTAAGCGGGAGAAACCAGAAAGCGCAAATTAGAATGTATATTCCTCGTTCGAAACGTGAATTCCCAAAGCGCAAAAACTGCGAATAATATTCTTTTTACTTAAAACGTTAGAGCCTAAGAGCGCTATATACATTATACACTCTTCAGAGTCCTAGAGTGTGAGAGTCCAAAAGCACTATATATAGTTTATACTCTTCAGAGTCCTAAAGCGTGAGGGCTCAAAAGCGCTATGTCACGTGTGTACTCTTCGAGTCCGAAAGCGCTAATTAGAATGTATATTCCTCGTTCTAAAAAGGTGAATGCCCCAAAGGGGAAAACACAATGGATATTCTTTGTTCTTAAAGCGTGAGAGCCCAATAGCGCTATATCAATTGTATGCTCTTCAGAGTCCTGAAGTGTGAGAGTCTAAAAGCGTTAATTAAAACGTATATTGCGAATTGTGAATGCCCCAAAGCGCAAACACGATGAATATTCTTCGTTCTCAAAGCGTGAGAGCCCGACAGCGCTATCTACAGAGTACGAGTCGTGCGAAAAGGAAGATGCCATTATACAAGTCGTGTCAGATCGTGTATATTGGACAACATGTTTAAATGTGCCCAATCAGCAAAACAGCAGGGGCAGCTTTAGCGCCTCGTGAATCCACAGCTAATTTGACAATGCTATGACGAAATTCATGATCAATAACAGGACAGACGCTTGAAAAACTGACGTCCATTTGTTAAACTGACATACACGTGGACATTGGGAGTTAACATTTTTGGACTTTCCTGCTTTAGGACTCCGAAGAGTATACACTGTATGAAGCGCTATTGGGATCTCACGCTTTGAGAACGAAGAATAATCATCGTGTTTTGCGCTTTGGGGTATTCACGTTTTTAGAACGAGGAATTTAAATTCTAATTAGCGCTCTTCAACTCTCCTGCTCTAGGACTCTAAAGAGCATACACTGTATATAGCGCTTTTGGGCCCTCGCACTTGTAGAACGAAGAGTATCCATCGTGTTTTGCGCTTTGGTACATTCACGTCTAGAACGAGGAATAAACATTCTAATGAGTGCTTTTAAACTCTCCCGCTTTTGAGACTCCGATGAGTATACACTGTATATAAAGTCGTACGACTCGTAAGAGTCGCACGGTTCTTGGACTTGTATATACACTCTTAGAATCTCTAATGATATACAGTTCACCAACTGTACGACTCGTAAACCATTGTTTCACGACCCGTGCGAGTCGTACGGGTCGTGGACTTGTATATACACTCTTAGCCTCTCTAATGCCGATGTACAGTTCACCAATTGTGCGACTCGTAAACCATTCTAATAATATACAGTTCACCAACTGTACGACTTGCAAACCATTGTTTCACGACCCGTACGACCCGTACGACTAGTTCGAGTCGTGGACTTGAATATACACTCTAAGTCCCTCTAATAATATACAGTTCACCAACTGTACGACTTGTAAACCATTGTTTCACGACCCGTACGAGTCATACGAGTCGTACGGGTCGTGAACTTGTATATGCACTCTAAGTCTCTCTAATGATATACAGTTCACCAACTGTACGACTCGTAAACCATCGTTTCACGACCCGTACGACTCGTGCCTTTCGTGCGAAGTTCGTGTATATTGGACAACCCTCGTTATTCGGGCCGAACCGTTTATTCTGGACTAGACGAACGAGTTATGTACTCGCATCTGATTGGTTTATAAGCAATGGGGTTGGGTGGAGCTACTCACAGATTGCACATGCGTCGAACCGTGAAACTATCCCTTTAAATAAGTCGATAAATCAACTTGTCAAAGAGTTCAATAAATGGGGTCAGATAAGGCGCATGTACTGAAATTGTTCTTGCTCTTCTCTAGCTGAGAAAAATAATCACATTTCTAACTTTAGGGCGTGCAAATCATAGCCATTCATACTTACTTCCGCATTCCTCTCGTCCTCCTGCTGCCGGAAGTATAGTGGTTGTACCCGCTGGACAGGAAGTGCAGTTTGTGTTCATTAGACCGGATGCATAAGTCCCGCTTGGACAAGGAAAGCACTTGGCGAGTCCATTAGGTGAAAAAAACCCTGGCTTACACTTTTCTGTAAAAAATATATAATTGGACATTTCAGCATACTGATAACCAATAAAAAATTTCCTTGGCTCAAGCTATCTAGATTTTCTTGATAACTTGCATATTTCGCTGTGAATGAAAAACTCAAATATTTCATATAAAGGGAAGTTTGGAAAATTTACAGTGTGTATATTTGTCTGGTTATACACGTTTTGTTTTTTTTCGAGTGAGAACAGTTGGAAAGTAAGCTAATTACTGTGTGCGTCCTATTAAATTATTTATAGCTTTCGTAACTTATCAGGCCCTGTGCGGACATTAAGAACCAAGATTTTTAGTTCAGGTATGTACACATTGCAGAGGTATTTTGCTATTGTCTCAGTGAAAATGTCCATATTTTTTGTATATTTTAAATAGTAGTATAAAGGGGATTAATCAAATACCGTTTCGCAGAGGGAGAAGTATTTCCCGTTTTTACAACCCCCAGCTTTAATTCCGAAGCTCGCAAGCTCGCTTCGGAATTAAAGCTGGGGGTTATAAAAACGGGAAATACTTCTCCCTCTGCGAAACAGTATTTGATTAATCCCCTCTATACTACTTGGGAATTG